TCAGCAGGCAGCAACAGAACACCGTAAGATACGAGAAAAGCGTAATCAATATGTGCTTTGCCACATAGTATAAACAGCCACCAGGCATTACAATTAAGCAGAGAAACAACAGGCAGAAGGAAGTGCGAGACAATTGTTTGTAGAGGTCATTCATAGAAATATTCAACAAGTTGCGAGAAGCAAGGCACTCAGGGATTAGCGTTAAGTTTAGGAGTACTATCTCATAGAAGTCTTAGTATCTAGAACCATTAAAACACTGTCCAAGTCGAACGAGTGGCATTTTACTGAACACCACTGCCACAGGTATGGGTGCCATATTAAATACAGGTCCAACACTAATCGTTCTGATATGTCATGATGATAGACACGATGCTTGCTAACGTGATCGTCTCCGAGTTCTTTGTTATAGGGAAAGGAGACAAAAAGGTGCAGTTCAGCTCTCTGGGAATATTGCTACATGGATTTGTAAAAGATGTGCAGAAAGTGAGGGGAAAAGGGGACGACTGGGTAAAACAACATGCTTAAACAGTTTCTGCACCTCGGTGCTGCTGCAGGCAACCTTTCCAGCTTCTGTCTTGAGCCTATCCTTGTCTCTGTAACTTATTTGCCAAGTTTAATTTTTATACATCTGAGCGCAAATCCCTCGTTCTTTAGTACAAAGAGGCAAAAATAAAGCTGTTTTCACACAGAAAACTAAAAAGGAAAGGAAAAAGCATTCTGAATACCAATTAATAGAATGACATTACAAAATCCTGCCTAGGCACAAAAGCCTGCAAGCGGAAAAGTGTAGTGTTATATGAGACAAAGAAATAGGTCACAGGACTTTAAAAAACCCCCAGAACTATTGAGGACAAAAAATAGGTTTTTCCCCTGAACTTCTGTAGCTATCCAGGCCACACCATTTTGATGAGGCCCTCCAAGGCACGGCCCACTTCTCACAGCCACGCTGTTTTGACCCAGAGTCATTTTACCATTACAGCCTCCGTATCCCAGGACACTAAAACATCCTGGAAGTTATGAAAAAGGATGAAGTCAGCAGGGGAACAAGAGAGAAAGACAGATGCTAGCTGGTTTAGTCCAGCTGACTGATAGGCATCACGTACACAGCAAATCTGGAAGCAAACCCTTTTACTTTACACTTACTTTATTCTTCTTACCAGAAGCTGAGAACTAACATGCTTCTTGGTGCGCCTGGGATGAAAGGTAACGCCGGCTTTCCAAGGGGCTGATGAGGTGCAGGTCTACTGCAGGTATATCAGAGTTACACACTGGCAACAGGATTTCTGATAGCTTTGGGCCAAATACTTAAATGCGCTGAGCTGCTTTGAAAACCCTGTTGAGTACTTGCATTTCCAGGCATCTAAACTCTTCCCAAAATTTGGCTGTAAGACTGTTCCTCACAACATTAAAAACATGAGCTGTTTCTTGTGACGTGAACTGTTCTTTATGACACAAAAGACTTCTGTCTTTATTGTGTTTATTTACAGAGTCATGTTAAAATAATTCTGTATTTTTTCAGACTACTGCTTACAACTCTACAAGAAACAGTCCTCTCCTCTGACTCCTGATTTAGGACGTAGGCTCAGTATTGTTTTATATGCTTAGGCATGTTTCTGTATATGAACACCTACATTATGAAGTGCATTTTAATCCTAAACATTTTACCAAGGATCACATCTTTGCATAAGCTGTCTGTGGCTCAGGTTTTTTAAAGTTCACACAGTACTTGCTCCTGTTTTGCTCATTGAAACACAATGAAAAGTGAAGCTTTTGAATGAAAAAGTAAGTACAGGAATGAGCGTAAAACCAAACCAAATAAAATCCAGAAAAGATAGAAGAAGAAATTTTAACAAGACTGCTTTCCAGAGTATGTATGTTTCAATTAGCAGGAGTCATTTTGTCACCCATTTGTGGCTTCCCTGGAACAACACACAGGTATCAAAGAAACAAAAAGATTTCCAAAGTTAAACAGTGAAAGCTGTATTTATATCACTGAAAGTCAGCTGATTTACTGAAGATCACAATTATTTGCTATTTAGCTTCTGATGTGCCTTTTGCTCAAGTAACACTGACATAAAGCGTGATAGGACATTTCCACGAGAATTGGCTTACCCCTGAGGGCTTTTCTAATAAAAAGGCAAAAAGCTAGTAACATTCAGACATTCACACCCGAACTGAAATACTGTTGCAATTCTCAGGGAAGAAGGGAAAGGCTGTGTTAGGAAGGATGAAGCAGTTTTCTGGGAGGCAGTAGGCCTGGCTTCCGCTCCCAGGCTGGCTACCGAACGGTGCTCTGTTTTCAGCAAGTCAGTTTTTTCCTTGTATGCTCTGTTTGTGAAAGATCAAATACAAATCATTTCTATCCTAGCATGTAAAAGTGTGCACACCAGCAACGTGAAGAACTGTACACGTCTTACCATTTTCTTGTCTGAGGAAAATCCCACTGCCACCCAGCCGTCAGTATCGGCACTCAATTCAAATTCAACATCAGCTCCTATTCTACGGTAACTTAGAAAGTAGTCACAAGTCTCTGCGTTGCACCCAGGTTTACCGTACCTAAATGGAATTGGAAATACATGTAACTTTTCCTTGCAATTTCCTGCTATGGAACTTAATTGTGTTTCTGCAAGAAAAAACTAAAAGAACGCATTTTGGTATAATGGCAGTAAAACATGTTATATCATGCTATACACAAAGCACCATTAATTGTTTGCAATTACTACTCTTTTAGTGTAAGAATGTGTAGTATTTAAACAGTACAGCAAGCAATTAATTACACGCAGTATTACTCTGTTGATCTTCCTAGCTCGGGTTTTGTAAGTGCTTCGTGAAAATACAAGAAACATGAAATAACTGTAGGTCCATAACTATGACGTATGTACTTAAATAATCTAGTTTCTTCAAATAATATAGTCCATAGCTACAAAGTATGTTCTTAAATAACAATCTTTTCTTAAAATGAATAGGGAACATTTACCAAAGTCTCCAATGCAATCGGTCAGCGTTTGCAAACATAAAGGTATCTGCACTCTTATCTCAGACTGACCTGAAGCATCCCTTGGTTTTTCCACAGTCATCCACTCTGATTTTTGCAAATGGATCCACAGGAGGAGCAGTAGGGAAAGGGTAACCTGTATAATGAGAATAAATCATTACTAAGTAAAACACAAGGAATAAAAAGCAATAACACTAAAAAGGGTTCCAATAGCATTTACTTCATTTGCTAATAACTGAGCTGTTCAGATGAGGGACTACTTTGTCACATACGTAATCCCTTGCTCAGATGGTACTGGATCCAGGTACCAAAGTAACACTCATAACTGAAAACAAAAATTTTCTTAGGTTTCCTACATTCGTCAAGAAGGGAGAAGGATGCTGGAGCATGGCTTTGCTACACTGAGGGCAAAAGTTAACTTAAGGGAGCAGGAACATGACGTAGCAGAGTCAGCTAACAATTAAAGATCTCCACTCAGGTATCTCTTTGTGCACTCTTAGTCCCCTCAGGAAATCTGTAAGGGAACAAAATCTGACTCCTTAGCTATAAATGACGGTATTAAGTATAAATGGAGGGAACCAGATTCAGAGCTACAGGAATGGATACTGAAAGGACCTTACAATACACCCTCCATTAAGAAGTAAAATAAAACATGCATTGAGTTAAAAGGTAAGAGTGTATCAAAATGGGGAATTGCCTGCAGTGATGACCTGCAATCATATGTGAAGTAAGACCCAGAAGAGCTGGACAGTGAGAGTTATGACCCCAAGCAATCCCCTGATCCCCTGTCTACTCTACGATACTGTCAACATTTGCAAACAGATCTTTTCTGTCTTGGCTTGTAGAAGTTTGTGTCCATTGCATGAACATAAGATATTTTGATAGGACATTCTTCCATTTAGCCAACTGAAAACTAAAGTGCCAGTTGTGAAACTAGAAAGTTCTCTGAAAGTGTTTCATTGAATAGGAAATAAACACTGCAGTTGTTAGTTACAGCATCTGCAAACAAACATTTAGCCTACACAACTTCAGGCATTTGGGAGCCCTGATTCGCTTTCCTAGATTCTGGCAATGCCAATGGAGAAAGTATGCTGTAAACTGCAAATTACAGCCTCCATCAATGTTATTAGGGGCCTGGGTAAATTACCCAGCATAAACATATAAAGTTGGCAAAATATCACCGCAG